GCCCGTCCGGCGTCTCGCGACAACTGCGGGTCTCACGCATGCGCTCTGCGCCCGACCGTAGCCGTTTCCGCCCGGGGGAGGGGCGGCGCGGGGCCTGGTCTCTGCGCCTGCGCGCTGCGGACCTTCTCCCTTGGCTTCCGGTGAAACGTTGCTCACTGAAGTTGGGAATCAGTGCATTTATTATTAACATTTGTGTTAAATCGTACTCTTTAGTGCCGCTGTGCGGAAAAGACTGCTCAGGTTTATGTAGGTGTTAATGGTTAATTAATATTTGATTTTTAAAGTCGTCATCCATGCTTTGCTTTTTAGTGTTTATTGAGCGCCTACTGTGTGCCAGGCAGTAGGTGCTGGGGACAAACTCGAGAACAAATTGGGGAAGTCCCCGTCTGCCAGAGCTTAGTCATCAGTACGCCAGCTTACAGAACAGATAAAAAAGCGCGGTGTTCCCGAAGTCGGTAGAGCCAGGACAAAGGCGACAGGGAATCGGGGTGTGGAGGTGGGGGGCTTCGTACCGCAGGCGCAGGGGGCGAGGGGCAGGTATTTTGGGGGAATCGTGCTGGGCGGGGCACAGCAAAACAGGGCAGAGGTGCAGAGGAGAGCCAGGTTCCAGGGACGGCAAGGGGGTGGGGACACAGTACCACGGGCCTCAGAGGCCAGGCACAGACCCAGCTTTTCTGCCCGTGAGATGGAGCCCCTGGAGGGGTGCGAGGAGGAGCGGAGCCACCAGTTACCTTAATAAATAAATAAATAAATAAATAAAATATATATATTTACATACACACACATTTAATTGACAAGTCATTTATAGTCAATATAACTCGCCCTTTTAAAGTGTACAAGTCAGTGGTTTTTAGTGCAACTTCACCGTTATCTAATTTTAGAATATTTTCATCACCCCAAGTAGGAACCTGGTATCAGCGGTCATTTCCTCCCGCACACCCTTTAGCAACTGCTCGTTTACTTTCTGTCTCTTTAGATTTGATTATTATGGACTTTCCGTGTGACTGAGACCATACACCATGTGGCCTCTTGAGCCCAGTTTATTTGAGCAGAATGTTTTCAAGCTTTGTCTGCGACAACGCGGGTCGATGCGTCGTTCCTTCTTATAGGTTCTAGAGAGGAGGGTGCTTGGCTCGAGGGTGCAGCAGAGGGGATGAGAGAGGAGCAGCCTTTTGATTTCGGGGTGCACACACACGAGAGGAGTTGAGGGTGCTTGTGAGGACTGAAGGATGGAGTGTCTGCTGACTGATGTGGGAGAGGCGGGTGGGGTGGGTGTGGGGGAGGACCGATTACAGATGTTGACTGGGCAGCAGGTGCACAGCACTGGGATTCGGGACAGAGATCTTGGCGGGAGAGGTGAAATTGGGAGCATTCCGTAGATAAATGGTGTTTGTGGTTTTTAATTTTACACGTCCACTAGACCGAGCCAAGGACTGCTCGGACAGCTGGTAAAACATATTCCTGGGGGTGTCTGTGTGGTGTTTCTGGAAAAGATTAGCAGTGGAATCGGAGTCTGAGTTAAGCAGTTGTCCTTCCCCAGTGCAGGATGAAGTCCAATTTATGGGCACCATTTTAAAAGCCTCGTCTGCCTGTTGAGGGTCCGCAGAGAACTGAAAGGCAGAGGGAAGACGAATCCGCTCTCTCTGCGGGCGCTGGGACACCCCTTTTTCTCCTGCCCCCACACAACGATGCTCCTGGTTCTGGGGTTTTTGGACTCAGACTGGGACTCATACCACTGGCTTTTCTGGTTCCCCAGCTTGCAGATGGCAGACAGTAGGACTTCTCAGCCTCCGTTACCTCGTGAGCCAGTTCCTATAACAAATCTCTATATATCTCACTGGTTCTATCTTTCTGGAACACCCTGACTAATATAGTGTTTGAGACACCCAACGATTAAGGTCACCTATGGAGGGAGAGTGGACAGAAAAAGGGACCAGTGACCGAACCCCGAGTGTCTATTTGCATATCTCCTCTGCAGAAACATCTATTCACATTCTCTGCCCATTTCTCATAGGTTGCTTGTCTCTTTGCTGTGGCGTTAAAAGCGTTCTTTATATATTCCAGGTATGAATCCTTATCAGAAACGTGATTTACAAAACTTTTCTCCCATTTCGTGAATTGCCGTTTCATTCTGTGGATTGTGTCCTTTGATGCACGAAAGTTTTAAATTCTGATGAAGTCCAGTTTATGTGGCATCATCTTTAAAAAAAAAGAGAAGCACCTTTTACCGCTTTCAGGGATGCAAATGGGTCTCTATTAGTTCGGATGATGAGCAGAACTAGTTCCCTTTATCTTCTCGAATTGTCTGGGGTTCCCTGGGTTCTTGTCTTTTCCTTTTTCTGTTTGTCTTGGCCTCTTGCATTCACATTGACTTCTTTCCTCAAATATCTGGGGACTCTGGACTTTCCTTGGGGGTAGTTAGTTTTTTCCTAAAAAAAAAAAAAAAGCCTCCTTCCTGAGGGGGAGGGGAGCAGGGGTGTGTGGTGGAAAGAACGATGGCTCCCTAAGGTGCCCACATCCTGGTCCCCGGACCTGGGATTAAGTTAGTTTGCGCGGCAGAAGTGGCTTTGCAGATGTGACGAAGATGAAGGAGTTCGAGAATAATCCACAATAATCATCCTGGCTGATCCTCGGGGACCCGATCTAATCGTAAATCCTCGGAAACTAAACAGAGCAGCATGAGAAGGCCTCGCCGCCGTTGCTGGCTTGGACATCGTGAAGGCATCCGGCCCTGACGACACCTTGATTTTAGCCCAGTGAAACCCGTGTCAGATGTCTCACCTACGGAACTGTAAATTAATAAATATATGTTGTTTTAAGCCACTAAATTTGTGGTCATTTGCCATGGCGAGAAACAAAACCCACACGCAGGCGTCACAGGCTGGGTCTTTTCCTTCTTGGGTGCAGCTCCCACAGGCAGCCAGCAGAGGACAGCAGCCACCAACAGGCCGAAGCAGGGACACGCGTTTCTGCGGCTGGAAGACCAGCACAGAGGTCAGGACAGGCGACAGCTGGGTGAGGAGGGGTGACCCGAAGGGAGCATCAAGGGAGGCTTCCGAGGTGCCGTGTCATTCTGTTTCTGAGTCCTGGCTACAGAGGTCTGTGTTTATTTTTGTGCGAGTCGATCGATTGTACACTTATGGTATGTGCAGGTTTCTGTATGTTAAATTTCAATAAAAATGTGGGAGATGAGGGAGAGAAGAGGGGGTAGGGACCAGGGCCGAAGAGACGGGGGAGTGGGAATGGGGCACAGTAAACAAATTACCGGAAGAGCCGAGGAAATCAGACCTCAGCATCTACACGGTGCCTTTGTCCAGGGTGTGCCCCCAGCAGGCGCCTGGCCGGGGCAGGGCAGACCAGCCCGTCCGAGGAAAGCAGGCTGAGCGCCCGCACTGGTTCGGGCCAATGTTCCGGGTGAGAGCCAAAGGCTGTGAGTGAGCTGCTGGCGGTGGGCATGTCCGTGGGCCAGACCTCACCTTCCATGTACCCCTTGCCTCCTCCCAACATCCCTTCCGGCGTGACTCTGAGGTCCGCTCAGCTCAAAGACAGGAAGGCCCAGTTGTCATTCTATTTGCCTGTTATCCATCCATCCATTCACCCATCCGACCACCCCCAT